TTATATATGGTTTATGATTGATGATATAGATTGATGACTTGTAGAGATCCTTTTTGGTCAAGTAACCTACAAAACAAGTCCTTCATTGTTGGTTGAGGGACCCTCTAATGGCTAAATGAGGGACCGGATATGTTTGAGTAGGCTTTCATGTGTAATTTTATACTTATATAAGAGATGATGAGTAGTAATATGAAATATAAAGAGTAAGATTAGAATTAGAAACACTTGATACTTAAGATTCTTATATAAACAAGACCTCTCGTCAAATTGTGTGATGGAGGGATAGAATGATTTATTCTTTAATGTCGATAGTCTTTAACGTCAAATTGAAAAACTTTTACCTTCAATGTGACTCATTTGTAATTTGGCGACAGTTGTAATGATGCGGTCATTGTTGATGTGAAATAAGGGGTTCCTAAAATGTGTCTTTGTTTGATGAAGACACTTTGGGTCCTCCCGATAGTTGAGGATGTCAACCCTTTTATCGTGGGAGAGGAGACGGGTTAATGATTCATCCAGAAACACCCAAATGTGGAGAGCCTTTCGACTTACATCCTAGATGATGGTTCATTTTGGGGGGCCTTATTTTATACCGTGCCATCCATGCCTAGTCTTATTGCTTTCTTCGGGTATATCAAAATTTTTTTTTAGGATTTATCTAAACATGTGACTTTTTAATGAAAATCTTAAATAATTGAAACAAAAAATTTGATTGTATACGTTAAACAAAAATTATTGTCAAGACTAAGTTGTGGATATTCTTAGGTATCGTTTGGTTACCGAATTGAAAGATCGAGATAAAAATACAAGAATCGAATTAAATTTAAAATTTTTAATATTTGATTTTTAAAATAAATACGAACAATAATTAAAAAATATTTTTATCAGTTATGATGATAATAAAAATGATCAAGGTGATTACGGTGGCATAATGGTACGGTGGTGGAGGAAGAGGTGATAACCATAGTCATAGTAGTATAGCAATATCAATAATATATGTTTTAAAAAAAGATGTCACCACCATAGGATGTGATGGAGAAAAAAAATGGTGGTGGAGAATGTGTGGTGATAGAATAATAATAATGATAATAATTTTTTATCATTATCATCAATGGAGGTGGCGGTGCTAGTAGTAATAATGATAAAAATAATAGATATATAATAAATAAAAATAATATGTCACTATTTTGAAAAGGCCAAAAAAAAAAAAGAAGAAGTCTTATTTGCATTTTTTATTTTTATTCCCACTTTTTTCTATAAGAATAAAATTATATTTAATTTTTTTTTACATTATCGCTCTTCATTCTAATTTTCATTTCATTTTTTTAACCAAATACCTATAAAATAAGAATAAAATTTTCATTTTTATTCTCTCAATTTCAGTTTTTATCATCAAACAATACCTTAGAATACAAAAGATATTTTCAAAGTCAATTTTGTACTCTATATGTATGTGTCTCCCCTCCAAAAGTCATCTTTTCATAATATATTTTATATTTTTCATAATATAAAACAGGAAACATAACATGGAAATGTCGTCTTCACTCTTCCAATCACCGATCCATTGCCTAGCTGACATAATTTAAATGGAACCACTTCTTTTCAACTTACCAACGCTTTGTTATAGGTATATGTCTAGACAATTATCCATTTGTCAAAGAGTGATGTGTCGTCAAGCTATAGACTATATATAAGAACATATAATAATTTTTTGGAAGGTAGTCGTTAAATATCAATGCTTGATGGAAAATAACGTTTATTTGCATAATTTTTTATTCCTTTCTTTTCAAAAAAAATGATCTAACATTTTATTTATACATATATTTTAAAATATTTGTATGGTTAAAATTTTAAGTGACATATTTTATTAAAATATCATTAATTAAAATTCATTTTGTAAAATATTGTCCAAATACAATTCTGAAAAAAAGCATTTAAAATAAATAAAATATGATAAAATAATATACCAATTAGTAACTTATATATATATATATATATATATAATGGGTCTTAGCAAATATATTTTTTTCTTTCTTAATTATCTCAAGATGTTTGTTGGCCGATCCATTTCACCGATATGTCCATTCAAAACAAAAGTAAATTTTCTATCCAAAATATACTTTATATCATCATCTTTAACATACATTAGTATCATAAGTATTCAATCATATTCAACGTTAAAACATCTCATAACACATTGAATATTGATATTTTAGATTTAATAAACACATATGATAGTAAAAAAAAAAAAAAATTGAAACTTCTCATGCCACATTCCATGTTATTACATGAGCATGAGAGCATTTGTTTGATAAATGCATAAGTTAATTTAATTGACTATAAAGGTATAATAAATACGTTTTTGATAGCTATACAAAAAAAATAATAAAAAATGCATATTTCTGAAAAGAAATTTTGAGAAAGTACTAAAGCTCAAAAAAAAAAAAAGAAGTAAATTATAAATTAATCTCTATTTTTGAAAAATAAATTACATAATCTCTCATTTATTAAAAATAATTATTTAGTTCTTTGACAAGTATTGATCATAGTTAATTTAATATTATTTCATTTGAAAAAATATTTTATTTTGTCATCAATTTATATATATATATATATATATATATATAAAAAAGAATGAAAAGATAAAGTTACAAATAGATTTAAATTTATAAGGACTAATTAATTAGTTATCCAAAATGGAAAGACTATTTAGTTTCTTTTGAAAAATTTAGAGGGACTAATTTATAATTTACTCTAAAAACCGTTGAACTATTACAAAGACTCCAAAATATTTGAGGCTCCAAGTGTCATAGCGTACTCAGCCCTGAACTCGGAGTCTCGACCAATGAATTTTATTGACGCCGCGCGCTAATTAGCGCAACTATGAATTGCAACCCTAACATCCTCGAATGCCATATGTCCTTCCAATTACAACAGCGTCACTCGCTCCTTAAATAAAGTCCCAAACCAAAAGCATCTTTCCTTTTCAAGAGGCAGTGAAGTTCACGCTCCTTACACTAACCAGAAGACCAACATAAAAACAAACACTTTTCTCATTCTCTTCTGTCATTTGTCGTGTTGCTTCGATTTTGCAACTTCAACGACAACTCAGCCTCCGAAGAAATTTCCCACAGCAGCTCAAGTTTCTCTCTCTCACAGCAAATCTGGTTTATCTTCTACGGGAAATATGACCTCAGTTGCTCAGGTAATTAGTTTGTTAAGCAAGTATTAATCTCTGTTTATTTCGTTGTAATCTGGATTTAGAATTTGTTAATTACAGATGTTCTTTCTTCCTTTTTTCCTTAATCAAGGGTTTCACTAAGTCGCTTGCGATGACTGTGCTATCGGAGATCGGCGACAAGACTTTTTCGCTGCCGCGGTTAGTTTTTATTTATTTATTCTCTAAAGAATTTGGTGTATTTCCTTGAACTATTACTTGCATTAATTTTGAACCATATAAATTACTGGAAGCTACCTTTTTTTCTTATGGTCAACTGGGAATTTCTCGAGAGGGGAGAGAGAATAATTTGTGGGAAAAGTTTTATGCTTTGAATGATTAATGCGTGGAAAGTAATGTTCTTTTTTTCTTTTCCAAAAAAAAAAAAAAAGCAGAGAATAGATGCGACAATTTTCAACTTTATCGAATATGATCATGATATAATTTAATATGTATAGTGGATTTTAAATTTAATAAACCGTTAAATTATTTTTAGGTTAGGTTGTGTTGCACACAGGGTCCCTTAGAAAGGAATTAATTGTTGTTTTGTTGTTTAGATTATCTTTTGCCATATCTTTCCCCTTCTTATTTTGATATTGTTTACTTTATGGAATTGGGTGAGTATTGTTTTCTCCAGCAAATACCTGCCTGGGTTGTTTATGGCCATGTTTAAATAACTGAGACTGTGTTTGTAAGATGGAGTATGGGCGATTTATTTATGTTATCTGGTGATGACGTTCTCTGTTGAAAAAACCTATAAATCTTGCATCCTCTGTTTTCTTCATAACTCTTGTCCATACCCATTCACCAACTACTTCCTTTCCTCAGTTAAACTTGGTAACCTTTAGTTGCATTCGACCATTGGGATGATCTTTTTGCAGCTATGGTCATAGAATTATGAAAAATGCCGACAAAAGAATAAAAATGATAAAGATAAAGATATTTTTTCATTAAGTAATGATTATGCGATCAGCTAATATATATCCATGGAAATCATTGATGAAAGTTTGCCTCTGCAACTAGTTATGCTTGTGCTCTTTTATGGGGGTCAAAAATTAAAATGTTACCAAAAGTACCAAGCAATGTTAAATCAAATTTACTAGTAAGTTACATAGGCTCAAGAACAACTTGCTATGTTTATGGACAAGCTGGAGTTTGAAAAATGAGGATCTTTGATAACTTCTGGCATTATGCATATGGAAAATCAATCCAATTTAACAGCCTTTACATGTGTAATTATTCATATATTATTGAGTTCTCCTAAGCTTATGTTTTGAACTGAGTGAGCGCAAGAGAAGGAAAAAAAGACAAGGATTGTAATTTACAGCCAATTATGCATTGTGCATGCTGCCTTCACTTTTAGTAAAAGCAGCCACAGAAGGAGATGGTGATAAGTGATACAGGGAGAAGAATTCAAAATCTCATTTAACTTATTCCAATGAGATATTCTTTGCTTAAGTAGCCAATGATGGTGCTTTTTAAGTTCTACTGCCCAATTCACTTCAGATAGTCTTAGTTTTTACTCATATGCCTCTTAGTTTACTTTGTATAGAGGAGAAAGCATGCATGGCAGAAAATGATATCGACATTGTTCATTCATTTTTTATTTTAAAAAATTAGGCATCATTCTGTCATGTATGCTTCCTCCGATATCCCTTTTGCATGGTCCTCTGATTAAAAGTAAGAATTTCTTCTACAATTTCCCTTTAGTTAGTTATTCAGACTTTTCTCGCTTTCTATATGTGCTTAACTGACTTGTGCTGCTTGTTTTAAGATCTTGGCCATGCGTCACCCAAGAAGACTTGTTTTGTCAGGTTGCCTGGCAGCTTTGGTCGTAAGTGTTTTTTTCTTGTTTTTTTGGGTCCTTGATTGCAGATTTGACAAAATAGCCCCTTCTGAGCGCCATATTGTTAATGATAATGTTTGTGGATTTCTAGGTGATGACTATCCTTTCTGCTGTCGTTGGCTGGGCTGCTCCAAATCTGGTAAGCAGTCTGTGAGGCATGGATAGTTTTGTGTGTAGGTTAATTTTGTGATTCTGTTGGAGTTTCTTTTTTGATGTTATGGTGGAGCAATTGCATTTCTATTAGATGCAATTGAACTTCTTATATAAGTAATTCATAGATTTTTGCATCCTTAATCTCTTCCTTGGGACACAATTACTTGGTAGATGCAAGGAAAGCCTATGTATAGCATCCTGTTGTAAGCTGTAGTTTTTGTATAGGTAGCTTTCCTGGCTGTCTTTGGTTATGTTACTCAATAAGTCCATATATAGCACTGGCGAACATAGCTTATTGATACCCCCTCCCTTACTGCTCTCTCTTCTCCAGTCATCTATCCATTTTGCAGTATTTGCTTAAGTGCACATATCTATTTAAAGTTATTAAGCAAGAAACTGTCTTATTACTTTCTTTTACATTTGATAATTGAGTTTTCATCCATGTTTGTTGATCTAGATCTCTCGTACATGGACTCATCACGTAACAACAATACTTTTTTTCGGATTTGGACTTTGGTCATTGTGGGATGGATTTAATGACAAAGGGTATTGGCCCTGATCTTCTTTCTTTGTGAGCTTTCCCTTTCACTTTCTTCAGCTTCACAATTTGTTCTCATTGGAATTTATTTCTATTTTATTGAACAGGGAGGCTGAAGAATTGGCAGATGTTGAAGCAAAATTGGTTTGTTTCTTCCCTGTGATGACATTTACATTTAACTGGAATTGTAGTTGACACTTTGTTTTATCATTAGGATGCTGATTGGAAAGCTAACACAGGAACCACCAAAGCTGTTAGCAAGGTATAATAACTGTTCTGTGTGTACTATATCCAGAACTTCCTACTTAGTTGATCATGAAGGCAATATTCTTCTGTGCTGACCTTGCTCTTTTTTCCCCTTCTATTTTGGGTTGACACTACTTTATTTTTGGTTTTGGTTTCTGTCCTTTGTAAAGAATTTAGTAAAAAAATCATAACATTTCTTTACATAAAAAATGACAGAAAAGTAAGCTGGGCTTCAGGCTATGTGCTATGTGTTTGTACCAGAATGTGGCATGTCTAATGCACATTTTCACTAATCTTTAAATATTTGGATTGGTAATAGATTGAATCATTAACTGAAGCTTTTCCATATTTCATGAGACCAAGAACTCAGTCATGGCTAATTGGTTATGCAATCAAGCAATTTAGTTTCGTACTTGAATAATTTTAACTTTGTTCCTTGATTATGCTATATGCTCGGTAGTTTTAAACTTTTCAACTGTTTTATTCTTCCAGGATGATGACGAGTTGAAAAAGCAGAGGCGGTCATTTCTTTCACAGTTCTTCTCACCTATACTCTTGAAAGTACCGCCTTTATTTATTTATTTATTGAACTATTAGATTTGGAACTCTGCAGCACTACTGGTGGTTCTGGAAAAAAAAAATTGATCTGACCTTAAGGATAACCAGTTTCATCATGTGTGTTCTGCAGGCATTTTCCATTACATTCTTTGGTGAATGGGGTGACAAGAGCCAGGTAAGAATAACCTTCATGACTCAATACGGCCTATTAATTTATCCTCATAGTGATGGCTGCTTCATTCTTATTTTGCACTATGTATGATTGCTTTTCAGATAGCCACCATTGGCTTGGCTGCTGATGAAAACCCATTTGGTGTCGTTCTTGGTGGAATTGTGTAAGCTATAGTGTTTTCTCCAAGCATTTCTTGGAGTCATGCTATTTGTTTTTTTTTTTTTTCCTGACATACTGTATGTATCACTGTGTTTATATTGCTTGATTGTTTTTACTTTTCTTCAGAGGGCAAGCATTGTGTACTACTGCTGCTGTTGTTGGTGGAAAGAGCTTGGCATCTCAAATATCCGAGAAAATAGTAATTATGGATCCTTGCTTTTTTCTTCATAGCATATTCAGAATGTTGTTTCTACAATATGTAAGCCAAGCAGTCTTTGACGTCAAATTGATACCTTTTGTCGTTCAGGTTGCATTGTCTGGTGGAGTTCTTTTTATTGTTTTTGGAATCCAATCCTTCCTTTCAACGGTTGAGTAGGCCCATCATCTAACAAGTAGTAAGTACTTTCAATCCACTTCAATACCTTGTTTTACGAGTCAATGGTGTATAAGATCAGAAGAGGAGGGTTGGGGGAAGGGAACCACGTTGCATGGGCAAGCTCTATAATTTATTTATTGGAAAAGAAAAGGAAATGCAGAAGAACCATTGCCCAACAGTATATTCAGAATTGGTTGAGTGGTAATATTTTCACTGGTGTGAAATGACATCTATGCATCTTTCACTCCAGGAATCACCCGCTCACAGACACCAGCGCTGCACTTGCTTGTGCATGCGTACACACTAGCACACATGCAGTCATGAAAAAAGACTTGAGCAAACATAGAGGCAAAATTTGCCTTTCAGAACAGGATGCAATAACTGGTTTATAAAGATGGCTTTGTCAGTAAATTGGAAGGCTTTTCTATCAATTAACAAATTGAACTCAGAAAAATGGCTGCAAGTAGCTACACATGCATAATACTAGATGCTGGTTAGGTGAAAAGAAATTTGCATTTAAAATTGTACTTATCAAAACTCTCAACACCAGTTTTGTTTGTGACAGCTTGCATTCAGGGATTGAAAGCTGGTTAGGTATATTAGCGACTTTCATACATGAAGATGATTGTTATCCAAGGACACAGCAAGAAATGATTATTTACAAGAGCAATTGCTCAAGTCAGAAATTTCCTGGTTTAAAGAGCATTACCGTGTTTGGTTGTCAAAATCAAGAGCGTGTTATATGCTATTTGAATGATATTCTGTTGGATCTTGATATATCTTTACTTGAATGAAGCATTTTGGGGCACCAAATATGCCCAACACGTAGTTGATTTTCTGCATGCAAGTTGAAGGTTATCTGTCGATTTGTTAAAGCAGATCACGTTTGGGAATTTGCTCTAAAACTCAGAATTATGATAACCCAGCAAAGAGTCCGTGATCCGTGCTCTAGTCAGTTGAGAAATAGTGCCGTACCTATTGAGGGGTGTTCACTGTTCACTGATCAGATAGATCTGGATCTTCAAGGTGCCTCGATCAAGAGGTTCAGCCCCATCATTGCCAAGGTGGTTATAATTAGAAAAGGTTTTAAAATTCTGTAGAGAGGATTAAGAAAGGATCCAGTTATCCAAATAGGGAAAAAGGTGATGTATTACTAGTCTGCTGATTTGGTAACAATCAGGCTATTAAATGGAACGAGCCATGATATTTCGAACATAAAACAGTACTGGCTCACTATGGTTCGAGAAAATCAGTTGTTAGCTAGGGGAATTTTAGGAGATTAATAAAAACCACAGTTTGCAATCTATACAACAGCTGCAGATTATAATCTCTTTTTTATTCAAAATTAGCAAATCCTACCATTTGCATCAGACCATACAAGACCAACATATAAATATGGGCGCTGCTAAGTTATATACATCTATTGCTTTAATGACACTTTTAAACAGGAAACCATGTTGATTTCACCAAGAATGTCATCAGCATCCACCACTTGCGGGTTCAATTGAGCTCAAAAGTCCATTACCCCTCAGCTGCATGCAGTGCTCTTCAGCATCAGCCTGAGTGCAAATAATAACTACCGACATGCCATTGTAGTGTGCTTCTTGCATTATGTTAACAGCATTGTCAAGGGTCATCCCGGGAATAACTTTCATCAGAACTTGTACAACGTATTCACGTTTATTGTAGTTGTCATTGTGCAATATCACGCGATAAGGTGGTGCCATTTTTTTTGACTTCCTGAAGAAAATTTAAAGGGCAACAATATTTACTTTTGTAAATGACTTCAAAACATTAAAAAGTTTAAATAAGAACTAAATCAGCATCACTGTGTTCAAGCAATGACCGAAAAAAGTCGGAGGAGCGATGACCCTGATTTATAACTAAACTTGGGATGATAAGAGAAACAAATCTGCAATGCGGAAAAAGAAAAAGATGTCCAACTTTCATCAACCTGAATTGTTTCAACGGGAATGCACCTCAGTCCGGGTCATCTGATGCCGAACTACTATCTCCTCATATGCTCATAAATGAAACTAGAGTTGTTTGATTTAGATCTCATGAATATGAAAAAGGAAGAGAAGTGGTGCTGTGCTGGTACCTCAAATCAAACTCAGATTCGCGACCAGGATTGGTTCTCTCGATAACCGGCTTCTCCAATAACCCTCCTCCTTTGCCTGAGCCTGTTGTCGATATAGCCATGAGAATCCCACGGCTGACACATGGTCCTCTACAAACAGAGTTCTTGTCCCCTACACAAAATCATAAATATTGGTGACCAAGTTTATGTGCCAACGACACCCGTGACCCAACCAACACTCTATTCAGTCTCGACAGGTAAAACATGAACATCTGGCAGAAAGATGTTTATAGAAAAATGAAAAATGTTGTCAATTTACAGAATCACTTGTCGAAATCTTAAAACCCCACCAAAACTAAGAAAACTATCTGTCCTTCTTGATTATTAATTATTCAAGCTAAACATAGAAGAAAGGAAACAACTGAAGTAACAAAATGCAACAACCAACGAGTTAGCCGGTACAGCATGATGTTTGTTCATTAATAAATAAAAAAATATCTATCACACGACAAAAAAGAAATACTTAACAAATTACAGAAAGAAATAGATTCGAAAACCGTAGCCAAAAGTAATAACTGATGGTCGTTATAAAATTGAATCAGACAATAGAATTTAGAGAAATAAATTACAGTTACAGTTGAGGAAAACAATAAAAATTATGGGAAGAAAGAGTAATAAGTACCGGGTTTAGGGTTAAAGACGTGATTGGGAGAGAGAGCTATTCTCCCACAAATCGCAGTCTCCATTGTCGCCCCCTTCTCTCTCTATACGCACGCTCTTTCTTCCCGAAATGAGAAATGGACACTGTTTTTCAATTTTTCTTGTCTTATTAAAAAAAGAAAGGTACTTGTAAAAGATTTTTTTTTCGGTTTTTTGAGAAAAATGGGCTAAAACAAACTAGTGGTTGAGTTGGGCTGTGACTTGTACAGACGCAACATCTCAGAAAAATAAAAAGAAAAGAAGAAATACTAATGCACGGAAAGCATAGCATGAAAACACGTCGTTTTGCATCATTACGAGCAATTTTTCGTTTGTTTCTTGTATGTTTTAGTGGTTAGAGATTTGAGAGTACCTTCAAAACCATCATTTGCCCACGAAATTTAATTTGTAGTTGAGCAACCTATCAATACCTAAAAGGTTTAATTTGTGAAGTTAAACTACTTACAAGAACAGCCTGAGCAAACACACCTCCAGGGTTAAGAAGTAAAATTTCTACTTTTTTATTTTTTATTGAGTGCTGTTATAGAGCGATCCAAGAATCCTAAGAATGAAATGTGGAAATGTTCGTATCCATCCCATGAAGCATATGTGAATTGCCATTGATCAATTCACTTGAGCAACGATACGAAATAATCAGGAAGATCAAAAAACAAAACGGGAACAATAATTTACATTATAGAATAGGAGAAACGACTACAAGAAACCTAAGCCGCTAGCAATGAAGAAAATCTCTAGCATATGACAGCGTAAATGTGAAAACTTGCTCATTACATGAAGTGGAAGCCAAGCAACTTTTTCGACGATCATATTCGTGAAGACATTTGCTACTATAAATAAGTTTTGTCAAATAACATAATCGTTCTCTGCTCCTGCTGAATTGGACTTGTTATTAATTCATAAAGCCTCCTCCAGGCATGTTTGCTGGTCCCTGTGAAGAAACTTGTCCTTGAGAAACTAACTGTGGACGACCTGGACCTTGAACATAAGATTGACCCATTCCTGTTCCAACCATTTGTTGTTGCTGCAATTGCTGAAGCTGCTGCTGCTGCTGTTGCTGCAATTGCTGCTGCTGTAATTGCGGAAGCTGCTGCTGTTGTTGCTGCAGCTGTGAGAGCTGCTGCTGCTGCTGCAGTTGTGAGAGCTGTTGCTGTTGCTGCAATTGCGGAAGCTGCTGTTGATGTTGAAGCTGTTGCTGCTGTAGTTGTGGATGTTGTTGTTGTTGTTGTTGCATCTGTTGGTGGTGCTGCTGTTGCATCTGGTGTTGTTGCTGCTGCTGACTAGATATTTGGGGCTTAAACACAACCATATCCTGGTTCCACATAGTTTACATCACGTTATGGTTGATTCAACACCTTATTTTGATTGCTTAATCATGTCTTCACAATAATTAAAAATGAAAAGCATATTGACGTGCAAGCCCTCAAAACAAAAAGAAACTTGGATATGTTGCTAATTTTGTAACTGATAGTTCTAAAACTGAGAAATAGAAAAGTGCAAACATCTTACTTACCCCAGGGAAAAGCATCCCTATCAAGCGGCACGCTTTGTCAGAAACGGAAAGTAGCAATGTCTGAGATGGCAACTGAATTACTGCACACTAGGGAAATTAAGAACGACAAATTCAACATCAGAAAAGCCCATCAAATGGACATGTTTTTCCATGAGTAATAGAGCATAATCCAGAACTATTTAAATCTAGAATTTGTAGGAATTGAGCAACAACTGTCATGATGTTCTTTTTTTGTTTTTCATTTTTACGAAAAAAAAGGACAATCATCCTCTTAGAGTTGTTTGCATGAAAGTTTTAGAAGGTTCAATAGAGCTAAAAATGTAATTAGTTATAAAAGTTCAGAGACCATCATTTAAGGAGCTTCATAAAGGTCTAAATTATTTCAATTAAAAAAAAGTCCAAATTACTTTAACAATACTAAACTGCAAAAAATCCATGCCTGTCAGACAACATGAAAGGATAAAGGACTTTCAACCTTTTGTGACCAAGGAAAAAGGTCACTGCATTCCTATGACTCGATTCGTTCTACAGTAGCAACTTTCACCAATGCCCATGCACTCATGATTCACCCTCAAAAGTAGTTACTGCAAAATTTCACTCGGTAAAGGGATCAGGTTGAGAACACTTGAAATATGTGAAAATCCTAAGATTAACTTGATAGCCTCTGTGCAACTACAAGTATGACAATGAATTGCTACTTGTTTCTCATTAACTAAATTTGTAACTCTGTTTAACAAGGGCAAATTCTGATTCTGCATTTCCATGCTTAATTTTCTGATTAGAAATAAAATAATCTAACAGAAAGTGTCTCCATTATAGTTTTATTTTCAGTCCAATTTACTTTAATAGAAGTAAATTTCAACCAGGAAAGTAGTAGGTAACGAACTGTGAGCATCAAGATCCATAAGAAAACATCATATCACTGAAGTTAACACAGAATGCAGAAGGGAGAATTGATGAATGACATGAGAATTGACAGCAACTTTTCAGAAAAACATAAAATTGGAAAGCATTAGGCTACCTACTAATCCCCAAAAAAGAAATCAAAGCATCCAGATAGCTTACAAGCTTCTTCTCTTGGAGTTGTCCAAGAAATCCATGCTGATTCATGGCCCGAAAAACTAGAAAATCAGCCTTTCCGACATATTGCCTTTATCAAATAAAGCAAAATAAAAAAAGCATAAGTCCAACAAATCGAGGAAGATATGCAAGTGAACAAATAATATGCAAAATAGACATGCTGAAAATCTCAAATAAGAAGTGATTACTTGTTATTCATGTGGTCCTGTGATATAAGCCGAACTATTTGCATTGTTGGCGGCCAGTTTTCTGCAAGCCTGAGAAGCACACAGAGAAACTGAACCAGTTGAATCCATTTTGACAAATATGTTCTACCAACAAGGGAATCTAAAAAATATTAAACAATGAGAAAAAGGGATGAAATCAGCACACAAAAACTTCATCATTTGAAAGGCCCAGATTAAAAGTTCTAAAGTTGGGAGTCCTCTATCTTAAACAATCAAATGAAATATCAAATATCTTTGGTCTGCTATAAAGGGGTATTTATGAATAAATAAAATGGTCAATCTTAATACCATTTATCCAACTATAAATTTTACTTAGAATAGAGTTTTGATTTTAATATTGAAGCCCGGCCTCCAGCACTAGAGCAATCTATACCCTGATCAATGAGGCTGAGATTTAGGTAATTCTCAAAACTATACCTGTCCTGATGCCATTAGTGTTTTCAACCATGGTTGGATGATTAGATGAACAAAACACCATGCTCTCTCAGAAAACAAAATACAATAATGTCCTTTGGGAAACAAAATGATGTTGCCTTCTACACCAAAATGATTAAATTCAGCCCTAGGCAAACATTTGCCAAATGCACAATGATGCCATTCAAACAGAATGATTCTGGAGGACAATGTATTCCCAGAACCTAAATCACCCAGCCTGCCCTTCATATACAAATGAAGTACAGTGCCTGACACTTGAGGGTATGGGTGCTGAAAACCCTAAAATATTAGAAACCTTCCACTGACAAGATGCTGGACATATAGCTACTAGGCACTGGTACAGAGGACTGTCTACCTTTGAGTAAAACTCGCAGTCCCAAACAAATCATCTGATGCCCATGTGATGATTCTCTCAAATGTAAATAGAAGTGTAGTCTCGTGCTGTTTTTGTAATTCTTTTTAGTCAGTTTATCCAATTTTCTTTTATCTAAAAATGTTTGTTCTCTCAACAATCACCAGTCAAACAGTTAATCCATGACTTATACAGAGCCAACAAATATAAAATAAATGCATCTTTTGGGACAACCAAATATAATTTTAAAACTTGTTCCCAAAAATGTAAATCTAAGATGTCAGAGACTTTACGAATTGGACAGTGCAGATTGTTTTTCAGCATAAACCATATTATTATGCCTGAACTTACGTCTCAGAGGCCGAAGCACTCCTATAACCCTGCATCAAAGGAATAAGGCATAAGGTCCATGTGTAAAACTAAAACACACAGATTAGTTACTATTAAAAGGAGACTGAAACAAAATTATGCATTAAGTGGAGATTTATGAGCCATTTCAAACATACTTCTAGTCTGGTGATAAAGACAGGCTGCCCTTGTCGTTGCCCAGACAAGTTTCCCTGTGTGCAGTTCAAATGTTCAAAGAAATCAGTGAGTTCATAAAGAAAAATATTAGATAGTTCCAGAAATCTACACTGGTATCGAAGAAAACTTTCCAAGGGAGTTAAATAAAAAAATATTGATAATAATAACATAAGGAACTAAGCAAAGTCTATTTGATTGCTTTATCATCCAAAGGAGATTTTTGTGGTCTCATACTTACCATTCCATGCATGACCAAATGACCCCACAAACAAAGGGTAACATATAAATGTCCATCAGATTAGTGAGTTCTGAACATGGGTTCCACCCCAATCCCACCCATGACCACTTGATTCAAGGATCGTTACAGATTTGACCATCTTTTGCTATTATTTGGTGAAAATTTGTGGAATAGGCTAACTTCCCAGAAGACAGCAGAGGATTGTACATTGTATAACAGAAAATTTAGTAGATGCCATTGTACATACTATGAACCAGTTCATGCCACAAGTCCATCTGTTTAGTACAAACAACGTTTTGACAAAAGGTAATAAAAAACTATACTTTAGTTAAAAATAAACGCGAAATGCTTCCATCACTGACTTGCAAATCCACTACAACAATCTATGCGTACCTAGTTATCCCCCAAAAAAGAGCAACCAGACTTACCTCCCAGACTCTGACATATTTTGATTGAGATGGTTGCAAGCCCCCTGCTGCCTGTTGTGACAACGGCAAATTAGCTGCTGAGTTATTGTTTGCACCAAGAGGCTGCATCCCCGATTGCACTTGTTGAGACATTCCCGGAGTAGGAATCATTGTGTTTGAACCAGAAGAGACACCTGACGGACCCAGACCACTCATTGTGTTTGGGTTCGCACCCATTCCACTTTGTACCAATTGTGCTCCTGAAATATTCCCTTGGCTCATGCCTGGTGCTGGTTGGCCAATGCTAACACCTGCTTGAAGATTACCCATTGGTTGTGAAACCCCCCAAGATTTGAACTTCCAGACATATTAGAAGTTGCGGAAGTAAATGAACCAAGACCGGAGTTTGGTGCAATTTGTGTTGTCCCAGTCCCCGACCCTGTTATTGAAGAGACACCTGGTTGCCCAGATGAAAATACAGTTTGAGCAGCAGGCACAGATGATGCCATTCCACTCGAAATCATATTTGACATATGCATGGCCACAGAAGTTTGATTTATTGATGTGAGACCTATAGAAGTTCCTCCACTTAGAGCGGCAGAGTTCATCACTTGCCGTGCTTGAGAAAGATTGTTCAAAATGCTCACATTTGCTGCAGCGGGAGGCACAGCACGTGCAGGCTGTGTCATCCCACTGACATTAGGTTTCAAGTCCTGCACATTTTCACCACTTGTTGCCATATCTTGAGTAGTCGTAGATGGTGAAGAAGTCTGCAAGCTTGGAACTCCTTGAGATGCAGGGCGTGGAACGGAAGGAATATGGGGAAAAGTAGGTCCATTTGCCATGGAAGTTATAGTACTTGGCTCCTGCAAATATAAAATCACAAAAGTTTTTTAACTATGCGAACTATGCACAGATGCAATGTATCATGGAAACAACTTTATTTCCCTTTGATAAAAGGGAAATAAGAGAACAAGAACAGAACAAAAGGATTTCACTAGACTTACAACTTTGACAGTTGCAGTGGGAACATTTCCAACTGAAATTGGTGGCCGATTTGTGATAGATCCATTCACTGAAGTTACGAAAGAAAGTAAGTCTTCCACCAGGCAGAATATATCAAAAAAAAGAATTTAATATTGGAAGTAACCTAATAAGCCTAAAACTACTGGTCCATACCTAAATGCCTCAGGAAAAACCTGGCCATTTTTTTATGGTTTATTTCTGATGTTTCAAGTGCAATAAAAGTCAACAAATTAGCACTAAGAAGGTATCAACTTCCACAACAAACTTTTCAGGAAAAACATATACAGATGCTTGAATCTTGCTGAAATCCTTAAGACCTGCAAGAGGAGTTGTACTTGAAGCCTCACACCACAAGAGTGTATCTCTAAATTCTAGTAGAAAAAAATTTAGAAGCATGACAAGATAAGAGCTTCTGCAACTACAAAAGCCAGTAACATGCTGCCTCCATGAAAACCAATGTTACAGGGGGTTAAACATACACTGCATAGAAAATGTTGATTGATCCATTTGTTATGTCTTTCTTTCTCTCTTACAAAAATCACCCTAGGTGAGGTGCTTTAGAAGAGAAAGCCAGCAAGCAAAAGAACTTAACAAGTCATGCCAATATTCAATCACACTCAATAATCAAGTAGCAGACCAGATAGCACAAAGAACCTGAAGGAATTGAAGTTGGAGGTGGCCCAGTCACTGAAGTAACTGAAGCAACATCCACTTTTACAGGCGTTTGATTAGAAGGAAAACTTGTAACTCCAGGACGACTCAATGCAGCACGAGCCTCCATAAAGTTTTCGGAGATTAGCACAAGAAAATGAGGATTTTTCACGCTGTCAACGGGTGGATCTGCTGCTCGGCTGCTGCGCTTCCCCTACATTGTAAAGTGGTGTATTAAGTAGCATACCCCAGACAAACATTAGTGATTTCCACCAATTTCAGATGAGCAAAATATGTTGTGAAAGGGTATTGCAAAACCAGCCCCCTCCCCCAAAAAAAATAAATCGTTATCTTCCCTCCATGCGAGAAGCAACAGTGCCATATATGTGCTTTTGCAAGCATCAAATACAAAAAAAAAGAAAAGGAAAAAAAAATGACAAAAAAGTCTCATCCTTACTGCATTGTAGATTGATCTAAGTTTTGGAAGCTGTTTTGGACAAATGACTGAGAGAGAAACCAAGCACTGCAATGAAACCAGGGGTCAGTTTTTACCTAGCCAGTGCAGTTCATAAGTAAGCTAATACCAGTAGATTAGGTAAGAAAACAATGCCAATGTACCTGAGGAAATGATTTAGCCACTGTCTCTGCATCAGATAGACGACTTTCATTCTGTGTATCGATATTTTCGGCCTGCTCCAGATTTTGTATTTGTGGACGATAGACTGGTGTGGGCAATGGATGAGGGTTACTTGCAGAAATAAGAATACAATTCCTTTGCCCATCTATATTTGGTTGAGTTTGGCTTCCATTTGGAGCAACAGGGAACATCTGAATAACACAACAAGGCATAAGCCTGAGGAATATACTTTGCAACTGAAGTTAAAAAAAAAAAAAAAAAAAACTTTTTTTTCTTAATGCGAGTAACAAAATAAACTAGTTCCAAATCAAAACTTGTCACTGACTCCTTTGTGAAAACCAACCCATGTGACATTGCAATTGGGGATTAACAGCAATAACAGACCGAACTCTTACAAGTTGCAACAACTATCCAATATGTATCAAAGTATGTCATCAAATGCAACATGCAGGAAACAAACAAGGGTCACAAACAGTGGTCAAACATCTCCCACTTTGCTTAACAATTTGGCGAATGGTCATTATACAATATAATATTGTTCATTTAGCAACAGTACATGCATATAATTGCTTGGTAGCGAAGTTAACGAGCCATTGACGAACAAGATTACCAACCTCCTTGCATGCTAAAAGAGGCTCAAGTCCTGCATTTAAGCCCAGACAAGGCAAGGAGGTAGGTCAGATCTGCCCCATTTTACAGCACTAGCCATTGGCCCAATGCAATAAAAGTTCAGGTGAGGCCACAAATTTTTTTTATTACCAAGGGTGAATATGAGAGGATCTAGAGCGGAGCCTAACAAACCTCTTGGATATTTTTTTTAAAATATTCCATTGAAGAGAAAGTATGGATTCTATTCACTGACATTGAAGCTGGTTGAAAATACACTAATCACCTTTTTGTTTCCTCTTTTTACGATAGCCTCAGTTCTTTCATGCTGTCTGATTGCAATGCAATCTTTTGATTTTAAAATTTCATTGCTGGTGTCATCTATCTATTTGGGTTTGCTGTTAGGGGCGGCAAGTAGTTAAAAAAACAAGAAGATGCTCAGTATAAGTATAGCTGTAGGCACGGCCAAATTTACCAAAGGAAAAAAACCAGCGAGTCTTATTCAAGAAAAAGAGCACCAAAATAAAGGATGGTAGTTCAACATGCAGATGCAACAAACAAAAGAAGAAGTCCAATAGGAAAATTGGTTGAGATCATGATAACAACCATAAAAATAGATTTTTTTTTGATAAAAGATGGCAGAAAAAGAATGAATAGTACAAGAAGTAAAACAAGACATCTTCCTCAAAAAGAGAAATGGAAATCGAGCAAAAGCATTCCAATTCCATCAACAGTTACAAATAGTCTATTCTAAGAGCTCCTGCAGCTGTTCCCTACAACATAAAAAAACAGTGTTTTGATGAATAATGAAAAAATGAAAATCAATAATGAAATTCTATTAGAAGAAAAAGCAAGGATAAATACAAGAAGGTCAAGAGGACATCCTCCTAAGAAGGAAATTTAAATGAAGACGAGCATTCAAATTTCCATCCCATTAAATGTCATCTAAAGAAATTCCTCTAGGAACCAATTCATCCATGCTCCATAATGCATTACAGTAGTAAATTAACAAAAGATATTTTCTTTTTTGAGAAGAAACCTGAAAAAATTCTAGATATAGCAAGCCCATGTTTTTTCTCCAACCCTTTGTGTTGATGAAATTTTTCAGCCAAACCTAATTGATGTTTATCTCTGTGTTAGATTGAGTGGTCATGCATGACACCTAACATCTGTGTCAATCTCCCCACACCATGGCTTACATTTTTGGTCATTGCTAAGTAGGATAGTCAATAACTCAAATTTCGAACGAAAATGGACCTCAAGCTTCTTCCTCCTTTTCCCTCTTAAAAAGAAGGAAAAAGAATCAGAACTATTATAATAAGCTACAGTTCAGGGAAGACCATGAAGCACAAATAATCATTAACTGGAAACAGAAAATGTTAAATTTCAAAAAAAAAAAAAAAGATACGAGCATGGTGTACCATTAGAGCTTCAGAAAGCCCTTCTGCAATTGCAGCATCATTGAAACCACCACCAGCAAAGGGAATGGCTGATAACCACTGTAAGAAGATATCAACATCTCTTGTCCAGCCACTCCGTTGCACTAGGGAAGCTTCACAAAGAAGCATAAAAACATAGCAGATATTCTGTTAGTTAGCCGATTATAGAAGAAAATCAGGTTTCAAATTCAATACAGCCAAAGCACAGACAAGAGATAATCACTGCTGTCATGCATATTGTGAGAGTGGTGTAATTCAAGCTTTGAATATTTTAGAATAAATAACAGTAATACAGGAATCTCTTGACTAGCTAGCAAAATTTTCCAAATTAAACACATCGCAGACAGTTTTTATGAATTTTTGGATATAGCATAAATTACAAAGATTTAAAATAAAGCACCGAGTAAAATTAAGTTCAGAGTCAAACTTGAAGGAAGTTTGAAATACAAACACCAAGTACACGCATATGAATCTCTTTAGAAATTTGAATTTCAAGTTTCAACTGTAACTCCAGAATTGCAGAATGAAATTAATTCATAGATTTCTAATCACTTCAAATTCAAATAAAAAAAGCCTAGTATAACCTTCTTCTGGCCAAAAATTCGTCCCAGCAAATACAGGAAGGAGATGCCAACAAAAACATAAAATCATGTCGTGTCTCTCGAAAAATAGTCTCACATTAACATGGAATAACACATCAGCCAAGAAAAAATCCGCATGATATTAACCAATCAAGCAAAACACATACCAGAATATGATCCATGAGAATTAAACGTGACAAGGGAGAGCTCAACATTGGAAGTAGAGGGCTTCTGTATTTGAACAAAAGAAAATCACAGAACAATTGGCAGTAAAATCTGATATTTACCGAAAGAAAAAGAAAACGGAAAAAAGAATCATACAATCACCAACAGTAAACATAAGCTAAAAGGCAGTATTCTGTCTGAATAATTCCCATCATGCAGGCCTACGGTATTGTAGTTATTATGTAATAACATTCTAAGATCCATTCAAACCAAAGAAAATTGAGCAAGATAAGTAGCCCTAAAACCGGAAAACAACTTTCCTATCTTTCGGAATCGAATCAGTAAGAAACCTTGTAATATTCTTACAATAATCTAATCACATGCCAGTTTTTACAGTGTGTGTAATTCTAAATTTGCAGCATTTACCATTATCCAAATCAATTCAGTTAAAATTTGACAAGGTAAGATTTTAACTTACCTGCCCAGACAATTCATTACCACAATAACACCTGCATAGAGTGATTGAGCCATTGGTTAAAAAAATCAAAACAAAACCCTAATTAACAGTTTCAAACTTTATTTTTCTAAAGAAAGAGACGAACGTACCTGATGATCTTTTCAAGATAATCAGAAACGATGATGGACCAGAAAGGGCCCATCGCGGCAGTGCCTTCAACGGCCACGATCAGCTGTTTCTCCGCCATTCTGACAGTTGCGTAGGAGAGAATCCGATTTCAGGTCGTTTGCGTTGCTTAGCTGACTGAAGTCTTAAGACTGAAGAGATTGAGTTATTAGCGAATTGAAACGAAAAACTAATAATTAACGACTGGATTATTTATTCATATATCTCGATTTATTTATTGTTGGTTTTTTTCAAAGTAATTTTTTGATTTCCCACCAAGGATTTAAACGAGACGAGAAGTATGGGCCTGGACTGGTGGTGATAGCTTTCGTGCCAATTTCGTAGTGGATTCTCTTCTGCTTTTCGTACGAGTTTTTCTAACCCTCATCCAGGATTGACAACTCATCCTAATTAACTATTGCTGGTCAATTACTAAAAAGTCATGTAACCATCTCAGCCATGTCAGCAAAAAAAAAAAAAAGGTGGCAGACCCTGTAAGAGACGTTAAAGACGTGATAAATTTCAAGAACCAAAACAGCCCCGCATTCTAAAATTTAAACCGATTGTTGATTCATGTGTTATTTCCATATTCTTTTAATTTTTCCCTTCTCTAATCTGATGAGGTAATCATCCTGTGAAGTTGTAATATTTGGGGCTTCATTTGCCCTATCCCTAACTGTCTTTGGAGATTTGGTTTGGATTTTTCTCAAAAACTTCCTGTTACTTTGCCAGTCGAATGAATTGAGGATTTGTAAAATGTTGCAAATACTGTAATTGGTCTGAGACTTGATTCTCCGAAATCCAAGGTGTCAAGTTGAACTCCAGATGTTTGATATTTTGTTAATCCTATAGAACTCTTTTTCACTACATTTACACCACATGCATCGAACTACTACTAATTGCAGGTTGGGAATTGATGAAGAGCTCGTGGCATTGCTTGGCAGGACTCACCAGTAAGCAACGTAGGATTGTCATTTTGCGTAGATGACTTTGTTTCTCTCTGGCTTCTGTCTCAATTACCTTGCTATGCTCTCATTTTACTACAGCTATTCTGTTATGAAATGTTTTAAAGACCAATGTCCTTGACATAATATGATTAATCCAGTTCATGCCAGAAAATGTTGCATTGTTTCTAGTTTTGCTCCAATTAATATCATATTAACAGTAGCTTATTTGTTGAGATCACTAATGATAGTATCTGCACATTGACATGGTAGAAACAATCTAATCCTGGTTACAGGTATCCTATGTGGAGAATTTAATTTAGCTTAGCTTAATTCCCATATTTGGCAATGATTTATGCTTCGTTAGACAAAGCCGTTTATGAATATAAGTAATGGGATTCACCAATTGAGACACGGGTTTCTCTTCCGTAGGCTGCGTGATCAATGGAACTGGCAAAATTATGCTACAAAGAGCTTGGGGAAACAATTCAAGGACGGTTTATTCATATTTTTGTCTTGACGATATTATAGATCCTTCAGAATGGAGTGACTGCAACTACCCATATAGACATTCAGCAAAGTTACTTTCGAAGAGAGCACTGCATTCAGGAAAATTTAAGAGTGCAGCCACTTCAGTCATATGCTGGTAAGTACCTTAAAGCCTGCATGTTATCATCCTTTGTTTCCCAATAGTTTTATCAAGGAGCAGGGTAACCATCAAGGATCTTCACAAACATTTCTCAATCGGTAAAAAAGATACTAGATTTAGAATTACCACAATTAGTTTCTTTGAAAAAATTCCTAGGTGTCTTAAGTTAGAACAGGATTTTATTCTTTTCAATAAATTCCTAGATTTCATAGCTTAGAACAGGATTTTATGGACAGGGTCCGCAGTTACCACCTAACCGACTGGATTCTCCAACCTCAATCCTTCTCTCCAAGCCATGAGCTGCAAAATCCTTTGCCCTAGCATTAGGATCGCATCCCCTTCCTTACTCCTCTCCCTCTGCTCAGCATTGTTCGCACTATAGTAGATACTTTGAATAGGAGGCTAATAAGGTTAGCTCATAAGTCAGTTGGCAATAGATAAGGAAAGGGGAATCTCTAAATTATCTAGGATTTTCTTGATATAAAGTAATTGATGAATAAAAATTTTATGCAGTTGTTAAACTTACACAAAAAATGCTATGTTGGTCTATCGCTAAAAACTCTAATTTTTTTTTTTAAATATCTTTAATATTTTGCATTATGCCAGAGCATGCTAGTTCTCATATTTTTGTGAAGATATTGTGATGTCTTTCTGCGGTATTTACTGTGATCTTAACTTTAATCAGGAAATTGAGGAGAAAATGCTGATGTTCTCATAGATGTCCAACATCAATCTCTTAAAATTAAATAAATAATAATAATAATAAATTCAAAAGCTATTAGAATGGCATTCCAAAAGTATGTATTTGGAAATTAGTTCATCAAATCGGGATTTGATTCATCATATGAGATACAGAGATGGAGTCCTGCAATTAATTGGTTAAAAACAAATCCTCTTAGCATTATAAATTCATTGCAAAAGCAAAAACGAATTGTATTATGTACACAGTACACTTGCTTGATCCAAATGCGTCATCGAACTAATACCTTGCAACTTGCTTGTAAATGGAACAGAATCATTCATTCTCCAATCTTCTATAAAGTTCTATAAATCAAGAGAAAATAAAATTAAAGCCAATAAGATTCATAATTGATAAATGTTGACATCAGTATATTGAATTAAACTTGAGACAATATTTGCCTTTGTATTGGGATAGCTATTTGCGATGGCATACCCAGTGATACTGAATTATGATGTTGAGGTGTGTAGAAATTATGCGCCACCATAGTCATGGACGAGGAAAGGACCTATAAATGTTAAAAATAGTGAGTGACATGAATTTTTTTTCTTCTTCTTCTTTTTTTTTTCTTTTTCAAGTGACATGAGGTTTCTAGCTGGCATGGCTAAGATGGTTACATGCATGGCTTTTTTGTAATTGGCCAGCAGTAGTTAGGCTTTACAACTCATAAGGATGAGTTGTAAATTGAAAAAAAAAAAAATCGTATATACTGAACTAATATACAATACAAGAGTGAAGGGAGTAGAATGCCAAAACCAAAAACGGTGCGTTTTGTTTCATGCTTTATAAAGGAGGATATAGCCACTTTTATTTATTTATTTTAGAATCACGATATTAATAAATTTGGCTACAATAATCTGGATAGATATTTATTTAAGTTCATCCAATTAATTTGAGAATGAAGTTATTATATTTGGAATACAAAATCAATACAATTGACTTATCATTTATATAGCTAATCGAAGATAAGTTGATTATTTTTTGCCTCACTGTCCTCTTTCGATTTTTACTTGCCATTAAAGAGAGCAAAAATACTTTTGTGGAAAAACACATGTATATTTTAGTTTACCAAAAAGAAAAATAATAGGTTGAAGGATATGTATATATGTATGTGTGTATTATATATTCTGGCGCAAATGATGTTTCTGAAGATTTTTCTTATGTTTGGAAAGGGTTGAAATGGCAACATGTTGCCTTCTATTAGCTTTGATTGATTGTTCTTGTTCCAGGACATAAAAGATTGTAGTATCACTATTTTCGTCATATACAAATCTGATGTTTGATAGTGCCGTCATAATTTTCTTCACTTCCAAGGCTTCACGCTCCTAAAACATTTGGGATTTTTCTGTGCTGAGAATGAGAAAATGATGAGTAAAAATGAACGAATTAATTAGAAAAAAGGAATGTGTTAATGCAGATAGAGGAACTTTTAAGGGGAAAAGGAGGGGATTAAATTTTCCAGAATAAGCTGAAGTGTATATAATAAGGGAAATACGCTGAAGATGAGGCAGATACATATAAACAAAGGAAGAAGGCAGCCAAGTAAACATGCTCGAAGCTGCTGTCTTAGATGGAAGAAGTTGAAGTGTAATTTTAAATGGTCTGCACGCTGAACTCGAATTCTTATGCAAGTTCTTTTCATTTTCCATTTACTATTTTTTTGGGTCACAACGAGTCTGATTCGTGCCGCTTTCCACTATTATGAATTGATAGGCATTGGCATGTATGACTGCACTTGTTTTGCTTCTTGTACTCTGTCCTTGCAAATTTGAGTTGAAAAAGTGATGGTTCGATGAAATTGCTGATATATATATATATATATATGGAGTATGGAACTTCCATACCTGTTCATGCTATGCTTTCATTTGTTTTATTAATTTATTAAAATTAAGATGAAAGTCATAACTGAAAAAAAGAAGAAGAAGAAGAAAATCGAAGGAAACAGTTAAGTTGAAATTAAGTATGTAGTATTTAGTTGATAGATTGAGGAAAGATAAATAGTTCAATTTGTCTTTATACAAGGAGATAATTTTTTAATTTTACAATAAAAGTATTCTTATATCACATTATTATTATTATTTTTAATTATTTCCATTTAACATTAGAAATAAAATTAATCATTTTTAGAATGGTAGGGTTTTAATCTTTTTTAACAATATGATTATAGAATTTAAATCTTACACTTTGATAAGAAATTTGTCCGAATATTAATTTACTTATCACTCGAGTCAATAACTTATTAGTCTTCGATTATTTTATTAATCAATAAAACTAAATCCCTTTCTATATGGTCTTAAAAAGGCACCATCTACATGGAAATAGTATATTGAAAGAAATTTTAATAAATCTCCATAGTTGTTGGCTCCAATGTTTGAATACAAGAAATTAATAAAGTAATCTAACATCCTCAACTTTTTATATCTCGTACGTACCATGTCAATTTATTCTTCAATTTAAAGATATTTCTCCAATAACTCGTTTCGTATATTTCCTTTCCATGGAAATTAATAGAAAAATCACATATAATTTTGCACATGATGTGTTTTTATGCTAAAAATGAACCATTATTGATAAGATAAATAGTTTATCTATCTTTATATTTTAAATTAAAGGTTGTTTCTAATAAGTCCTTTTTTGCATCATTATATTTATTATGCCCTTAATTTTTAAACATATATTGGAGAAATATCCTTTACTCAAGGAATGAATTGGCACAAATGAAAATAAAAAGATAAATTGTTATATAAAATTAGACAAAGTGGGTCATTTTTTTTTATTAATAAGAAATTGGTCTAGTTGGTAAATAAGTTTATTCTCTATGTTATTGTATAGAGTTTGAATCCTAGAAAAGTCATAAGAAAAATATTTTTTTTATAAATGCACTAATTTAAATTTATTTGACCATTTTAATCCGTGATCAAAGAGAAAGTGGTCTTTGTGTATAAAAATTGGCTTGAAAATATTTTTATTGTTAAAATCTTTACAAAATTAAAGAAATTTGAATAATGCTTCCTATATAATCATCTAGAATTTTAATGGAAAAATCATAATGAAATAATTTGTAATGAATATATCAGCATCGATTTGGATGGTTTAATTAAAATCCGACTGATAAAGACTTAAACTCGGCGTGTAAAAATTAACCCAAGAATTTCATACGTCTAAAAAAAACACTAGGTAGTTGTTACGAACGGGTTGAAGCCCAAACCCGAACAAGAGCCGAAGACTTTACAACTACAATCCGCGAGAGTCTTGGTGAAGGCCCACCACACTCACCAGATTTCTTCCCAGCCATTTCTTGTAATCTTGGCAGAGAAGGAAACTAATGTCAATCCTAGTGCCTTGTTTGACAACGACTTCTCAGTTATTATATCCAGAAGTTGCTCAAGTAATGCATGCCATAGCGTAGCTATTAAATCCCAAGCTGGCCTTTGCTGGGTTCTCGATAATGCACAGAAACACGAACTGAGTGTGGTTTTGTTAGTTTCGTGAAAGATAATTGCAAGTCTTCGTGTCTTTTTTTTTAGTTTGTAGTTTTTTCTTTATCTCGGTTTTGTTTTCTTGAGTGTTTGCAAAGATGATGCTACAATATCGAGACCTGGTCAAGCTTAAAACAAAAAAGGTATTCTCTTTCTCTTGTTTGATTGATCTTTTTGTTTCCTTTTATATTTTTTGGGTTTTTATTGGAATTTAGTTTTGATTCGTTTTTAATTGGTCTCTATGTTTAAAATATGTGAATCACTGGTGATGCCAATTACTGGTGCTAGATTGATAGCTTCATGTTATGGTACTGGTTTTCTTGATTTTGTGGCTTGACTGAGGTAGAAGATTGAAATGCTGGATTGATGTGAGGGAGTGAGATGCAGCTAGACTGGCAAAGAAGACATTTTAGATTTTATGGAAAGTGAATTTTATTGAATTCAGGATAAATCAACTTGCTTTGATCCTGATAATGTTGCTTCAAAGAAATAAAAAGGTGCCCTGGAAATGATTTTAGCATAGAAGAAACTTCTGTTGATGTATGTTCATTTGGTTCTATGCTATATTTTTCTTCTTTATTTCTAGGCCATTGTGATATCTCATGACTGCACAAAAATTTGGTTTTGAGTGATAGTCTGTTTTTCAATGTATTGGCAATGGTAACAGATTGTTTTTGAAGATGTAATAGCCGCACGTGATTCTGCTACACTAGAGCATCTGAAAGAGTTGAGCTCCAAGCGTTGGGTAATTGAGGAGTCTATTAATCAGACTAGTTTCATTACTGAGGCTATTGCTAGAGAAATATCTGGTGGCTTGACGTCTCGTTGTGAGCAGGTAATCTATTAACTGCTGAATGAGAGTTTGGTTAAACAAATGGACTGTTTTGCTTTATGTGTTGTGCGAAACTAGCCCCTTTATCTAATTGCCGAGCTTTCAACAATGTGATGACTGTTGTGCTCTCTTCTTGTCTTAGATGAATGAACGCAAGCATAAAGTAATTTTAATATCTCCTAGTGATATAGTTAAGAGCCCTATTGTAGACCCTGAATTTGTCTGTTTGGATTTGAATCCATGTGACATTATATAACCGATAAATATTTAGTTGTAATCAAATTAAATGTTTTGATTTGTATGTATTTTCCAGTTCTCATAATCTCTGTAGCATTTCACATATTATTCTGAGTTGATAACTTGTTGAAAATGTTGCAGGAACGTCTCAAATTAGAACAATATCTACCGTTATTGGAAAATTTCATCTCTCATGCTGATTTGATTAGCAGCAACAGCCAGATGGTTCAATGGACTTCACAACTCAAGATCCGATGGAGCAGTGCTCTTAGCTCATCATCTTTCTTTGACCTAAGAGGTCCAAAGTTTTTTCAAATTGATAATTTGCGATTTGAGCTTGTTATGATCCTTTTCCTGTATGGAGCAGCACTACGGGAAAGGGCTTTGGAATTTCTGCCAATGGGTGGGCATTACTGATCACTGCATATCACATCGGCATGACTATATTGATTGATATTTTATTTACTACCTTTTTTATTGTTGTAGATTTGAAACAATCAGCCTTCATCTTCAGGGAAGCTGCTGGAGTTTTTCATTATCTGGCTCATGAGGTTGTTCCCTCTTTACAGTCAGCATTACCTGCAGAAGCTTCCTCAGCTGTGTCTGCTGCTATGAGTTTCATTTGTTTGGCTGAGGCCCAGGTTAGCTCTTTGGCTGTTGGCCTTTCAATTATATTCTAGTAGTTAAAAAGTTACCTTTTCATCTTCTTTTATTTTCGCATGAAAACATGGGAATTGAGTACAAGAAATCTTGAGTGTCAGATCATGGGATTCAAGTGTGACCAATTATCAGATATTGGCATTCAAGTATGATCCACTGATCCCACCAATGCAGTGGCTTGCACTTTCTTTGTCATCTATCCTTGAGGTGTTTTTTAATTGTGAAAAAGCATCACTTGTTTTTTCTTTATATTAATTTCATCAGTTGATGAAAGTTTTGCATATTGTTCTCTGTGATAACTGATGATATGACAATGTGATAGGCTGTATATATAAGGAGGGCAGAGGAAAAAGGTAATACTGGCTTTGGTGTTCTGGCCAAGCTGCACTATGGAGTTGTGGAATTGCTCAGCGAAGCCACAGGTGCTCTACACACAGTGTCTGGAGATGGCAAATCTATTTCATCACTGTTTTTGGTATGCACGTAGTGCCTGGTAATGTCAATGTTTGCATTGTTTGATGAGTATAAGTATGTATCTTAGTGGCAAGAACAAACCTTTTTAGTCTTAGATGGTCTCCTTTTCATAAAAATAACTAGCTTGCGTAGAAATATATGCAAGTGGTTGGAGGAAGGAGAGGCAGAATAGCCAAAGTTAACTGAAAATTCTTTTCAAGGGCATATTAATTCTGGGTTCATGGAGTTGTTATTTGCTAAAAGGCTAATGGATGCTTTCTGTGTTTTGTTTAGGAATTTATATCATCTTGCAAAGCACTACATGAGCTACGAAGTAAAAAACACCTCGCAGAAGGTTTAAAGAACGATGGCCAAGTTGGTGGTTCTGTTGGAGTTCTTCGTGATGCATTGATGAGTTCAAAAAAGAAAACGCCAGGAGAGGATTCATGGAAAGCTGTCTTTAAAAAGGAAATTGAAAGTGTTGTAAATACACTAAGGAAATTCGAACACGAGAATGAATTTGCTTGGCATGAAAAGATTCCTTCTGGGGATGAGTTGCCGTCACCACAAGGTACCAAAATTGTGGAGATTGTGCCCTATAAGCCTCAAAAATGGGAGAGAGAACTTGCTTTCAAATTGTAGTTAATGTGCAGAGAGCCATTGTATAGTATCCCTGCGACTGGTCTTCGTTTTGTGGATGCAAAGGAAAACAAACTCCTTCACCTTTTTAATGAGTAGAAGGTAAGAAGGATATTCCTTTTTGTTTATTATCAACCTAATGCCGAAGGTGATTTGAGTTTTTTTCAGGTGTTTGTACAGTGTTTGATTGGTTGTATGATTATTTGTGGCGCTTCTTTCTCTCTTATATTAGAACCAATTAATTGCCCGTGTTAGCATCAATTGTCCATGTCATGCTGATGCTGTTCTAGTAGAACAAATTATTTAATTTTTTTTAACTAATCTTTTCTAATGTTTTTCATAAATTTTCTACTTAAAAAAAAACATAATTCATTCTTATTTATGGATTGATTTTTAAATAAAAACTTATAATAATTTAAACTGAAATATTAATCATAAATTCAAAAAAAAAAACCTTTAAAAATATATTTTTCATAATATTGTATCTTAAAAATAAATTTATAATTAATGGATAGATTTGTATAAAAATTAACAAATGAAAAAAAAATTTTCTTTTTTAATGTTGATGAAAAGATTAATTTTTAAAGTTATTTGTGCAACACTAGGGTTGGATAGTATAAAATCATTTTATAATTTTATAATTTTTCATTAATTTTTTATTTAATTATTATTATTTTTTTTTTAATAAAATTTTTACTTAAAAATGATTTATTCTTCTTTGTTTATTAATTCTTAAATAAAAAATTATAATAATTTAAACTGAAATATTAATTAAGAATTTAAAAACACATACTTTAAAAATATATTTTTTATATGAATGTATACAAAAAAGAAAGTTATAATTAATATTGTATAAAAATTAACTAATAAAAAAATTAAATATTATTCTTACTTAATGTTGACAAGAAGATTTTTTTTTTTAAAGCACATGCATTTGATATATACACAACACAAAGTAATCAATAATGTTAATAATGTTAACATAAAAAACTATATTTGAATAATTGGTTGATTCCTTTAAAAAATTATTCTAATCATTTTATTTTAAATAAATGTTAAAAAAATATATAGTTAATTTTTGATAAAAACAGTTATTCTAAAATATCATATCGTAGAATTATCATAATTTAAAAACTTAAATTATTAGATGAGGTTTTAAAATATAATTTACATTATTCTTTAACACTTATTTATGTATGTGATCAGAAAAGTAAACAGTAGATTCACTTTGCTTTCTTTATTAAAAAAATATCTTCAAACTAATTTACATTTCAATATAAAAATCAAACTCTTCATTTTAAAATTAGGAAAAATCATGAAAGACAAAAGCCTACGTTCCCATTTTTTTAGTTTAAGATTCAAAGCCACCTTCGTCTGAACAACTAAGGAGAAAAGAAAAAAAAAACACTACATGGAAAAGAAATGGACATGTTTGGATTTGCAGGTGCCAACCAAGTGCACGCTTGGCCCTGGAGGACCAGACTAGCACAGGCATGGACAAAAAAAAAAAAAAAAAAAATTGTTTTGAATTCCGGTGACCTCTATAATTGTTTGCTACTTCGGTTCGCCGGAAAGTCAGGTTTTCTAATTTCTGCTTTCTTAAACTAAATTTAGCCCTATTTTTATCTAAAAATACCTCAAAATTACAGAAATAACATCAAAAAAACTGTTTTAGAATCTCAAAATATATTTTAGTTCATAAAAAACACATACAAAATCAAATCAAAATAAAAAACTTAAAACATTTTTGGATCTCGTTCTATCTTCTTCGAATATTTCATCGTTTTTCATTATCTTAAACATATTCTACTTATCGACCTAAACAAAATGATGATAAGTTTGACTATCGAAATGCCCAAAATTAACCTCGTTGTTCTTTTCTCTCTTTCTTTCTTTCACACTCGTTTCTCTCTCCTCCAATTATGTAAAGACCAATTTGAAAGAAAAATAAAATTATGGACTAAAAAAAAACAATTACAATATGAGCGACAAAAATAAAAATAAAAATTGTTAAATTTGTATATCATTGCACAAAAACAAAGAAAAAAAAAAAACCAAAAAACCACATCCAAAAATTACATAAATTGCAACTCAATGACAGTGAATTAAGACATGTGAGCAGGCTAGTAAGGGTGAAAATCCCATGCCTTTTAGTGGTTTTTTTTTTTTTTAAGTGTACAGGACCTTTACATCCATTTTATCTGTGGGTTTAGAAACCAAAAATAGTGTTATTGCTTTTTTTAAAATGGTAAAATGCAAAGCTGTGTACGCTTCTCTATGACACGATCAGAGGCTACTAATTGGTTTTATCTTCGGAGAAGTATCTGAGGTTCCGAGATGTGCAGAAAAAAGTCTATCAACAGGAGCAATAAAGAACAGCAGCTGGTTCCCCAAAAAAACAGAAAAAAGAACAGCAGCTGGCATAGGCCCGTGTTTAAACACGTTTGGGCTCAGGTTAGCCCTAGGCCCCTAGTCTGTGCAGAAGCATTTCTTCCGTCTTGAGACCAAACCATCTTTGTTCTTATGGAAGATATGGTTGCCATACTCTTTTGTCTGGTAAACTTTTTAAGGTTCGAGGTGCATCCACAGCTACTCTCTTTCTCTCTAGATTTACCACTTGGTGCTTGTTTGCATTGTAATTGAGTGTTTAAATGAGTTGCACATGCCTTAACAATTGTTTTCGTGTTGACATGTGTTCAGTAAATCATTCCGATTCGTGGCACCAACACTTAAAATTCAATTCCTGTGAGGAGCTAGGGCCTTGAAAATTTGTAGAGTTTTGAGTAATTTTAAACCCTTCTTCTCTTTTCTTTTGAATGAAAAGGAAAAAAAAATTACAATTTTTGCTATTGAGGTATTTGATTGATTTATTAATTTCTTCTCGTTGAGTGGCCTGATGATCTTAAGCTGTACATCAGCAATAATGCCTTCCCACCATATCATAATAATCGGTGTGTAAATGCAAGTATTGAATTTGATTCATTGGTTCCACTGATATATCTGGATAATATAATATGTGTATAACTTCAAGATCCCATAAGTTTCTTGTTCGAAATGTAGTTAATAGAAGTTTCTCTCTTTGAGTTTGAACGAACACCTGAAATACAGGACGTAAATTCAGACGGACAAAATCCTAATGTACATGCCAGCGAATTATCTTTAAAGGACGCTTTCTATTCAAAATTCGTCCGACTTTAATACGGAGAGCAATCTAAGAATTGAAAAAAAAAAAAAAAGAAAGAAGAAGAAGAAGTATATTCATTAAATAAAGAAACATGCTCTTCAGGTTATTTTTTTGTCTAATCCATAATAATGGTGACATCATTATATTTATTTAATAATAATTTGTTAGTATATATATATATATATATATATATATATATATATATATACCAATCGATTTGAAAAGTTGTTGGCAGAAAAAAAAAAAAAGGTTCAACCATTCAGTTCATGCAACTTGACAAATCTCATAATTATATAAACGACCATAACACTTAAGTTGTTGGAATTATTTTTAGATTAATGGTTGTAAAAGTCTCTCTATTATTATTTTTTCTTTTTTTGCTTTTTTTTATCTTTATCTTGTCCCTCTACTTTTTTTTTCTTAAATTTATCTCTTCATTTTTTGTTTTTATTATAATCTCTTCCCTATGCTAACTTTTGAACTAATGGTGTTAACTTTTTTTTTCTTAATCTCATTTTTAACTCTATTTTTCTATCTTAATCTCTCTTTTTTTTACCAACTTTAAATAAATAAAATTTGAAAAATAAAAAAATTGAAAAAAAGTAAAGATATTATTCTCTTAAAAAAATAAAAAATAAAAAATGTGAAGATAAAAATATTCTTTTATCCAAATATTTTTTTTATGGGCATAAATTTGTCGATATGATAATAAAGAAAATTTGAATATATATATATGTGTGTGTGTGTGATAGAATGCAATTTTGAATATAAAATAAAATATTTATAGTATTTTTTTAATATGAAGAGAGTCCCAGTTAAAATTTTAAAATAACAAAAGTTGATAAATCAAAATAAGTTAATTGTAGTATATTTTTTGAGGTATTATAAAATTATAAATATCATTCAAAAATTTAAAATTTAACTAAAACTCTCTTTGCATTTTAAAAAAATATTATAAATATTTTATTTTACACTTAAATTTTGTTTATTATCATAGAGATAAATTTAAACCCAATAATATTTTGGATAAAAAAATTAGAATCACTTTCTTTTATTTTTTTCAATTTTAGAGAGAATAACCAAATATATCTTCATATTTTTTTTAGTTTTTATTTTTTAAAAAATTATTTATATAAATTTGGTATAAAAATAAAATTAAGATGAAAAAATATAGTAGAAACTAAATATTTTAACATTGTTAGTATAAAAATTAACAAAAAAAAAAGAAATTAAGAGAGAAACTAAACATAAAAGATGAACTTAAAGATAAAAAAAAAAAAAAAAAACATGATTAAAAAAAAGAATAAAAAGAACTCTGCGACCATTAAGCCGCTCTGCTTCTCTTATTAATATTGTTCATTTCTTCCTTAAACACCTACATTACAACTTTTTCAGGCAATTTTTTTTTACTTCTTACAGTAACCACTATCATCAACAACAACAACCTATTCCAGTTGTGGTAAATAGCCACATCTTTCGAGGTTTTACCAAGTTATCAATGAAAGAGCCGATTGCCTCAATCAGAAATGAGGGGTCATGTTAGCCACGTGGCAGAATCAAATCCATGTGAGTGAGCCATTAAATTTAGTGGAAGGATTCGCTGGAAGAAGCAGGTCAGCGGGGACAAAAAAAAAAAAAAAAGAAGGCCAGGAACTTTACTAATATAAACAACACCTATTACTCTGTCTTAATCTTCCTTCCTTAAATTATCATGGCTCTTCTTCAATGCAATTATTATTCTCTTCTCTGTAATCCTTATAGAAGAAGAACAACCAGACCGTTTTCTCCATTTAAGCTATTCTCACCCACCCCTCTTTATCTTTCATATAATATTCCAATCAGTTACAGTTCAAGATCATTCAAGTTACCAAGACACAGGTGTGGTAAGGTTGTTGAGTCTGCTTCGGTCTCTGAAGAAGAGAGCACAGTTGGGTCTACTTCTGCTGCCAATGGCACTGATGTGTTCCATCTCACTTACTTGGAGGTAACATTTTCAGTCTCCATCTTCTGGCTATCCCTTACCTTATGCATCATTGATTTATTTTCAGTTTTTTTTTTTACAGACTAATATCCATTTCTTTCTTTTTAAATTTTAGGGGAATAGTTGGTTATGGGAGGTGGGTGGGGTTAATATTTTGGTTGACCCAATCCTGGTGGGTAACTTGGATTTTGGAATTCCCTGGCTTTATGATGCTGCCAAAAAGGTCCTTAAGAATTTCCAGGTACTACTCCTTCTATTCTCTGAATTGCTATGTTTAAGTGTTAACTGCCTACTTAATTTTGATCTCCTGCAGTTTGCCTTTTGGTTATTCGATTGTATATACAGTCAATTTTGTAGTCCATTATCATATATCCACTAAGATAGGATTAAAGTAGGATTAAAGTGGGGTGACATTTTAGAATTGTTTTCCTTGGTAATTCATTGCGGGAATGATTGTGATTGGTGGAAATTGGTTACAATGTTAATGCAGCTTAGTGATCTTCCTGAAGTGGATTGCCTATTGATCACTCAAAGCCTAGATGATCATTGCCACTTAAAGACCTTAAAGCCACTTTCTGAATCATCCCCAAATCTCAGAGTCATTGCAACTCCAAATGCTAAGCCTTTGCTGGATCCCCTTTTTAGTAATGTAAGTTTTTCTCAATTGCAACTTTTATCCCTCATTTCTGGCTGTATTACTGTATACGCGTATTTCTTGGGTACATGCAATTTATTCAAATGGGAAATGAACATTGTCTAACGTGTGCTCAAGAGAGATAAAGAGATCAGCATAATGGCTTGTGAAGCATCAACATGGAATTAACGTTTTTTTTTTTCCTCAATAGGGTTCTTCTTTGAATTTTTTAAGTCATTTCAAAGCACTACATTCCCATGCCATTCCTCATGGAAGGAAGTATGATTTTTCTATGCTTGTAAGAAGTAATATCTTATTTCTAGCGCTTCAAAAATTGACTGTACAAAGTAATAAGCCACTTTTACTCAATAAACTATTAGACTTGCAAGAAGACAAGATGGAGAATTGGGGAGTTACTCTAGTCATTCTTTCACTGAAAAGAAATTCCAGGGTTTTAACAGAAATTTCAGGGTCATTCTTTTTGGCTGCACGTCTTTGTTCATCACATGCCTGCTTTGTAAGAAGGCCTCTGTTTGTGCGTGCATTCTTGCATGTATGCATGCTTGTCAATTGAGGCACACTAAACACTTGCCAAATGCAAACAGTCACTTTTCTTGATTGGGGTCTTAGCCATTGTCAGATTAAAGCAGAGGATGGCTTATGGTTCCATTTCTAAATTAGAAAATTATGGTTACATCTCATAAACAGGAATACAGGATGGTGGATAGACATCCAATCTTGCCAGTGCACGTGTTCTCTCTCCTTCCTGACATTGTTATGAACAAGCTCTGCACTGAGTTACATTTAAACCAGTTTGAAGCTTTGTCATTGGACATGCAATGCTATGATTCAAATAGGCTGTCTGTATTTTCAATGTCATGATGATTTAAGGCCCTTCCACATTCAAACACAAACAAAGCCTCAGATTTTTTCAGGTCATGTATCTAGAACCTGGTCAGAGTTCTGAAGTTGAAGCTAGAAATGGTTCTAAAGTCAGAGTTAAAGCTACCGCAGGGCCAGTTTTAGGTCCTCCTTGGCAGCGCCCTGAGAATGGGTAAGAGGTTTTTGTGCTTGAAGAGCACTACCATTTACTTGTGTTGCCTCTGGTTTAGTATGAATCTCAGTATTTATTGACAATCTGGTGTTTTTGTGTGCTATGCACTCAGATACCTCATCAATTCTCCACAAGGTCAATTAACACTCTACTATGAGCCTCACTGTGTATATAACAAGGATTTTCTTGAGAAGGAACATGCCGATATTGTTATCACACCGGTCATAAAACAGCTTCTGCCTAAATTGACTTTGGTTTCAGGACAAGAAGATGCGGTTCAACTTGCAAAGTTGCTGCAGGCCAAGTATTCAGCCTGGTCCTTGAGTTTTGCAGCTTCATTGACATACTTTTCTGTCACCATATGTTTATTGACTCCTTGTTTCCAGGTTCATTGTACCCATGAAAAATGGAGACCTCGATAGCAAAGGGTTTCTTGCTTCTATCATTCAGGCAGAGGGAACAGTGCAATCATTCAAGGTATGCTTTCTTTTACATAACCCCCCTGGGGTACATAAATCTGGATATTGCAAAAACAAAATGGGACTACTATAGCATCAGTTAATTATTGTCTTGTGTGAGATGAATTAGAAAGTTGGTGCTCCTAGTGTAACCGGTGGTGACTTGATTGATATCTTTGTGCCACAAGGTGCAAGCTCGTTGGACTTTCAGGGGCACTCCAGGCATTTTTATTTGGTCGATAGTCAATACGGTTTTCTTGTTTTGTCCTCATACTACGAAATGGAAATGCAGTATGCAGTAATCAACAATGAATTGCTGATAGTCTGGAATCAGTTCTGATCTTTTTTTTTTCATTTTTAACATACAGTAATTTAACAACCAGTTATATATCCTATTTGACTGTTGTGATATTCTTTTCAAGCTCCAGGACTGCTTGTTCTTTTCTACTTATAGAATTTATCCTGCATATAAAACTAACATTGACTCATCAAAATCTTTTATTTTTGTAGGAGCTTTTAGCAAAGGAACTACCAGATACCCAGGCACTTGAGCCTACCCCTGGTGTGCCGCTAGAAATATCAGCTCCTTGAAATTCTCAGATTACCACATGGATAAATTTTCAGTAGATATACTGTTTCATCAAGTATGTAAATTTTAATATCTCTTTCTTTGTTGATAACATTGAAATGAATAGTTTAGGACATGCAAAAAGAAAGCCAAAGTAACTAAGACTTTTCTTTGACCATTGAAGAATTATGGACCTTTTTAAAGTGGCTCTGCATGTTTCGTATTAGATGCCTCCTTTTAGAATTATGAATAGGCGATATAGTGTATGCATACGAACAGGAGTGAATTCTGCAATTAATTTTATAGGAAAGAATAGAAGTCGTTAACTAAATGTTGTTTTACTATTCACATTACTATTTACACACTATTGACATTACTATTCGTACAGTATACAAACTAGAAAGCAATCACTCTTCATCTACTGATATTTTGGAAAATTTTTATTGGTTTTGGGGTTTATTATTAGAAGACATTTTTAAAATTTTTATTGGTTTTGAGGATTTTTATTTGTTAGTATTTTAGAAGTTTTGGATTGATGTAAAGAGCTTTTATTTGTTGTCATAATAGATTGTGTTTACATTTCAATCTGTCTTTTGTAATATTAAAAACCGAAACAAAACTATTGTTTACTATTTATTTTATTATCCCAAACAATATTCATTTAGACTTAGTTTACTATCCATCAAGATTTATTTGCTCAATTTCTTTTACTATGTAATGGTATTGTTGTAATTTTCAAGGTTTTTCTTAAGGCATTTAATATGCAAATTGTTGTGGCATTAAATTTTGATTTTTTATGTATTTTTGTTTCATTTCTGAACTTTATTTCACTAGTTTAGTTTTTTCCAAAAAAAATTATGAAAAATTGATCATTATTTCTTAAGTTTTTAACACATCATTTCTTATGAAAATTTTCATCCAATTAATTTTAATGATTTTTTTTTTTTTTTTTTTTGCAAAAATTGTAGAAAATTGATTTTTATTTTTGAAGTTTTCTACACAAAATGACAAAAATAAATGTATGTGATTTGTTTCATATTTTACATGAACATATGTATTATATTATAATATTTTTATTATTTAAAATTAATTCTTTTAATTTATCATTTTTTATGAAAATTATCGTTCATTATTTTTTTTATTTTTTATAAAATTTTATTTGTCGACAAACATGATTTTATTTTTCCTCTATGTATAGATTTTGGAGTTAAATTTTAAAACATGATCATCTTTAAAAAAAGATAGTTTATATGATGAACTTTTATGGTCTAAAAGTTACAGATGTATTTTAGATTATTTGTCTCATAATTAAAAAAAATTAAAAGTAAAATGAGAAAAGAAAAGAAGAAAAAAAATTCTTTTAGATTATTTGTCTCATAATTAAAAAAAATTAAAAGTAAAATGAGAAAAGAAAAGAAGAAAAAAATTCTTGTGTGTGCGATGTACATACATGAAGAGCAACCATATATGGTCTAGGAATAGAAAAAAGTTCTTTTTCTTTTAATATGGAATTTGCGTATTCTCTATATACTATATGATAATAAAAAGATCAATTTTTAATAAATGACATATAGTTTATTACTCCTTATGGTTTTTCTCATATTAAAAATGGCAATTAAAGAATAATTCATCGATAATAAAAATCCAACCAAATCGAATAATTACTCTAAAAAGTGAAACGATATTACTAACCATCCAACAAACAAATTGAGTTAATATATATATATATATATATATATATATATATATATATATATATATATACAAAGAAAATAACACTTATATTAAATAAATATCAAAAAATTATTTCTTTGTAATATCAATGAATGACAATTTTAGTATTTTGGTTCTAAAAATGATTTTAAACTTGAAACGAGAGATTTGCATTAAATTATTTATTCATTCATTTATATCAAATATAAATTAAATTAATTAAACAATATCATAAAATATGTAAAAAAAAAAAAACACAAAATCTAAATAAATATAGATAGCTATAAACCGGATTCTACAACAACGCTCATGTCAAACACTAATTTATGTCTAAATAATGATATTTTATTTCATTTGTGTTTTGGTCTTTGTAGTCGAGAGATGAGACGATTGAGGAGAGAGCATCTTTTTTGGTTTAACAAAATTGTTGTCATTACTCATTAGCATCCGTGTGTGAAATTGGCTTGGAGAGTTGGTTGATGGTAATGGTAAATCTCGACGTGGTTGAAAAAAGAAGAGCATAACTCAAGAGGGCAGCACGTCGTCCACTTAGTTTTATCAAATTATTGAAAAGCCAAGCACGATAACTTCTCCTACCAAGTCCAAGCATGCACATGCTTGCCTTTTTAGGCCACGTCCTTTTCTTTTTTTCCTATTTTTTGAATTTGATTTTTCTTTGAATTAAATAATTAAAAAAATATACTACCATTATGATTTTCAAATAAGATTAGGGTATTTTAATATTAATATATGCATATTATTTTATGAAAAAAGTCGTTCAATTCGTTATATTATTTTTGATAAAATACTAAATTAAGAGACTAAAAACTTAAGATATGGTTACTTAAGAAAATTTATATCACGCAACAAGAACATATACATTTCAGGTTAATTCTCTCTCTCTCTCTCTCTCTCTCTCTCTCTCTCTCTCTCTCTCTCTCTCTCTATATATATATATATATATATATATATATATATATATATATATATATTCAAATTTCTTGATGATGATCAACCTATTACACAACAATTTAAGTTAACTATTGCATAAAATATTTATTTTAATATATGGAGCTTATTATTTATTTTATTTGAATTTGAATTTAATAAAATTAAATGTTAGAAATAGTCAACAATATATTATTAATTACAAGTGAAATAAAGTTAATATAAATTATAAGTATTTGACAATTATTTTTTTTGCAATAAAAAGTATATAGAGTAAATAAATTTTAAAAATATATTGCAAGTTACAAAAAATTATCGATTTTTAATCCCTCCTACAATCTACGTGCAATTTTTTTTAAGGGGGAAAAAAAAACTAAGAAGGCTATGAATTCTAAAATATATGATTTATTGGCTCTCAATTTTTTTTCCTTTTTTTTATATGTTTATTTATTTTAAATTTGGATATTGTAAAATTAATTTCTCTCCAAATAAAATGATTGAAATAATATTTTAAAAACACTCAATGGTTCCATAATTTTCAAATAAGATTAAAGTTTTTTGCTACTAATATTAGAATGATAATATTTGAACCAAATTTGCATAATTTAGGAAAAATAAAATTGGAATTAGTTTGTCTTTTTGATATTCTATAAGATTAAAATCATTATTTATTTTATTTCTCAAATTTTTAACATCAATTATCATTTTAATTTTTTCATACAATCTAATAAAATTGATTAAAATATATTTTTTCTTTTTACTTGATTGAAACTCGCTCTTAAAAGCATAATAATTTTTATTCAAAAATAAAAATGCAAAGACAAATAAATCAGGTTTTTAAAAAGGAAATTCATATGACAAGTAAAAATTAATTAAATACAAAACTTTGATGAAAAATTAGAAAATTACATGGAGTTTTTATTTGAATTATGGAATTTTTTATTTTTAATTTAATAAAATAAAATGTTTAAAAAATACACATAATTATGTGATAAATTACAAGTAAAACGAGTCTTATTATTAATAATAAATATTTTATAATTACTATTTTTGAAATGAAAAGATATTAAGAAATAAATTTTAGAAAACATATTATTAGTTAAAAAAATTTTTGTTGATCTTTCAGTTTTCTTAAAATATATGTGACAAATTGAAAAAAAAAAAAAAAACTCTTAAGTTATTTTCATTCTTTCATTTGTGTGTGAGTGATCTAACAATTTAATATGCAACTGTACTGGTTTATTTATATTAATATTTGTAGAGTTTAATTTCAATTGATTTAATTAAATTCTAAGATGATTTTATTTTTGAAAACTAAAATAATTTTTTTGTTAGCATTAAACTAGTTCTTAATTACTTAAGAGTAAGATGCCTTTCATTAATTACTTCAATGGGATTTAGATAGTAATTAAAATTAAAATGTAGTCTAGCATACTTTAGAAGTTTGGCAACCTATACGATGGTGTAGAAATTGTTGTGGCAATATCAAACAGAAACCATGGAAATTTTTCTTTCTCATTTGGGTTTCAAGTGGATAACTGGTGTATTTTTGTTTGTATCGCTTTGATATTGGTTGTGCTCTTTCGTTGAATGTATGCTGCCATGTGATTTATCAAAACATGAGTACTTCATAGAATATAAACATTAGGTTACTGCTTCCAGTTTGTGCAAAGGTTCGTGATGATAACGGTTTTTCAGATGGCAAAGCTGTCCATAAGTATCCCATAACTTGACCTGCAACCTGTAAAATTTTTATTCTGATTTTGATATATATATATATATATATATATATGGCGTGTTATCTAGTATTTTATTTGGTAATAATTTCTTTTTTAAGGGATCACATGCTGTAATAAATGCAGGAAATCAGAGCGATTAAACATTTTGCAGTCCTCCTTATTCTATTTTTTCCCTCAAATCTATTTCTTTTTCATACATAATTCGTCCATAAACTCATACAGAAAAAAGATCAATGTCAATGGATCAAAAAAAGTCAAAATGCGAATGTCCATAAACACGAGCTCAGATCTAGCTTCATATTGAAAGTAGCAAGTCTTTGCATGAAAAGGCTCCATCGGTTAAGATTTGAGACATTTCCTGGAGCTTAAAATTTTCGTTAGGACTTGAGATTTTTTTTTAATAAAAAATTCAATGTTAAAAAAAAAAAAAATTAGGGATGATAGTCTGAGCTATTCCCTATTATACAGTCAAGAATTATAGGCCCCCCATATGATATCAAAACCCTTTTTTTTTTTTTTTACGACAACATTATGCTCATCTTGGCTAAGCTACACATTTGTCAAATCGTGAGCATAGAAATTATTCTTAGTACAAGAAAAAAAAATTCAATCTCATCATTATC